CCCTCCGCCCGGAGCCCCCCCGGCCGCGCCGCCCGCCCGGCGCCCCCCCCGCCGCCCGGCAGCAGCAGCGCCTCAGACCCGCCACCCATCGCTGGATGTTCCTCCACTTTACCCACCGTATCAAACAGTAAGCAGCTGCTAAAACAAAACAAAACAAAACAAAAAAAAAAACAAAACACACAAAAAAAAAAAAAGAGTCAAAAAAAAAGTAATAACATTATATATGAACTGTGTTTCCTACTTGATTAAAAATATAAAGAACTGAGTGTTTATTTCCCTAATTAACCGAGAACTTTTGTACACGTTTAAGCTATTATTATTAAAAGTGTTTGCAAAAATGGTCAAGATTATAATATTGCTGAATTATATAAAAAAAAGTCCTTTTCATGTTGAGCTAACATTTGACTTTAGCACAAAAAAAAGAGATATTTTAGAACACGTAAAATAATATTTTTAGTTTTTTCTTCTCATTTTGTTACCAAATTTCGAACCTTACATGGAGGTTACTATAGTATATTTGACACCCTATATACCTGTGATTAGAGATGTGTATATATATATGAGGGCTAGGCATGCTGTGTGTCTGAGCTTTGTCTAAATGTTATGCAGAAGTTTGTAGAGTTAAAAGGTACGTAGGTTTAATTCATGCAAGGTAAACAATAAGTGCTCTCTTTTATACAATATGCATTGCATCTGGACCTTAAACATATAAAAATGGTCAGTGAAACTTCTGTGAACATGAAGAAAAATTATTAAAAAAGGCATTTAAATGAAATTTGCTAACTTGTGATTTTTACGTTTGAACCAAAGTTATTCAAATAGTAAAAAAAAAAAAAAAAAGAAAAGAGAAAAAAAAAAAAAAAGAGAGAGAGAGAAAAAAAAAAAAAACAAAACGAAAAGTAAAGAATTTCCTCCCATAATATTTTTTTTCTGCACCTGTTTGGTTTACAACTGAGTAGGCGTATTGTCATTATTGTGTATATGAGATGTACTTGTATTGTTCATAATATATTTTTTTTATTCTGTGTACTTAAAGTACTTAACCTGACGTGCAGCGGTTTCCAGTCCACCTGTTTTTGGACAGCAGGTAGCGAGTCTTTCCGTGTGGCCACTGGCACTAGCACTATCTCCTGCACTCGTGCGAGGTCCGGAGCGATGCTCTGATCCCTGTTCACTTCCGTAGGCCTGTTAGGAAGCAGTCAGCGCGAGGGCAGCGTGATCCCACTGAGCCATGGGGGTCGGAGTTTGGTTGGACGGTGAAAGCCAAGCCGGTGTGTGTCCGTAATGGATTTCCATGTAGCTGTGGTGCTAGTTTTATTACTGGCTACATACCTGGCGAGCCTGGCCGTGCCCTGCCCTCCCCGTCCCAGCTCCCGCCGGGCGCGGGCTCTGCTCGAAGCCTAGGCTAGGGAAACACAGATTTGTCAGAACACTAATCTGTCCAGGTGTGTTCTCCAAATTGAAATTGTTTGTAATAATAAGAAGAATAATAATAGACTTTTACAGGTTGTCTTCGTTGTTTTTCAGTTATGTTTTTTTTTCTTTAAAAAAAAAAGTTGGTGTGCTTTTAATTGACTAACTTCTTGCTGCTGTATAGTAAAATATTAATATATTTTTATCATTAAACTGCTGCATGACTATCATCATTGCGAGTGAAGAGAAAATGTTATAAAAAAAAGATGCCTTAAACAGTGAAAACAAAACTTTATTTTTTGTTTTTTCTTTTCTTTTCTTTTCTTGGCTGGAATTCAGTAGAGAGCATTTCAGAGAAACTAGAATCTTGTTCCACTCGGAAGTTTTTTGGGAATGCAATCATTTTGCTGAATGGTCTTGGCTAAGTTAGGGGCCAGGTAGACAGACCTGAGCTGCTCCTGTGCGAGCAGGAGCTGCCAGCGCTTCTTTACCGAGGGGCAAGGATGGAGTTTCAGAAGGGTGGGGAGAAAACAAAAAAAAAGCTTGTTTTAAAGAATTTCATTTCCTGCTGTCATTTTATTCCCAGTTGAAATTATAATTCCCTTTTTCTTCTTGGGTTTTTTATTTTTGGGTTTTTGGGGTTTTTTTGGTTTTTTTTTGAGATGTACTGTAAGTGTCAAAACAAGCTGTTTCCATTGTACCATGCATTATTGCCCTTGAAAGAAGTTTGCTGTTAGTGTTCACAGAAAGTTAAACACGAGCCGCTGGTAGCGAGGTGTTTCTGTTTCTTTTTAAACAATCACTGGAAATGTTTAAAATTGCTTTAATGTGCACTTTTCCTATTTCCCAGTAGTGAAATAAGCTTTTCAGAGTGCGTAATGTGACATTTGAAATGGTTCTCAATTGCATGTAAACATGTGTCTGATAACCTGCTTCTGAATCGGAGGCTCTGGATGGGCAGTTCCAGCGATTATTGTACTTCAACTGTGATGTGTCGGGACTGCACTCTCCATGCTGCTAGACGTAGTTAGGAATTTAATTGCTTTGGTTTTGCTACTTGATTGATTGTCTCGGTCCTGCTGTTCGCTGCCCTCCCCAAAGTTGTCGCGCTGCCGACGGACGCGCTCCGGCGCCCGTAGTTCCACGCCGCCGCGGTGCGTTCCCAGCAATAAGTAGCGGGAGGCGAGGAGAGCACGGCAGAGTGTCCTTCCGTCCCTCCCGGCTCCTGGGAGCATCGCTAACGAGGCAGGCTCCTCCCGTGGTCTTCCTCGCCCGCGCCGCCCGGATCCTGCCCAGGATCCGGCTGACTCGAGGAGAGCACGGGCCGCGCGGCTCCACTCAAACCAGTACAGCTGGAACAGCCCGCGGGCAGTTCTGTGAACAGTGGCCGAGAACTTGTGGTCAGTTTTTGTCTCGTTTTGGGTTTCTTCTGCGTGTTTCCTTGGTTTATTTGTTTCGTTTTGGTTTTTTCTTCTTTTAACGCACGTTCTGTATGTTCAAGGACTTGATGAATGATGATAACGAAAGACTAAAATGACTGTAAAGATTCGTGGGATTTTGCTCCTGGTTGTTTTAGTTTTCATTGGATTTATTTTTTTGCTTTTCTTGTTTTAATTTTTGTTTTCCCGGAGGTGCTCGGTACTTTACCAAGGCTCTAATATCTCAGTATTTAAAACAAAGTACAGAAAACCCTGTTTAATGTTAGAAGAAGAAAGGTATATTTGACCATATGTGTTGTTTTAAAAAAAGACAGTATGCTCAAATGTGCCAAGATACCTAATTCCTGAGAAGTATGCCTTATATTTTCCTTGATGATATGCTTTTAAATGTCTTGTAGAATAGGTCCAAGAGCATGATAAAAGCTACTTTATAATGACTACGTGCAAGAAAACTTGAAATTCTTTGCAATACTGACATTATTTTATTTTTAAGTTAAAGGGACACTGTCAAGTAATTTACCATTGAAATACAACCACCTTTTAAGTGGTTTTATGCTAACGGGGAAATGTCCTCCGAATTCAAATTCTATTTTTTTTTGTTAAAATGAAAACAAAAAAAAAAAAAAAAGTGAAATTGCTCTGTCTTTGAGAATTGAAATAAAAAAAAGAAAAAAAGAAACAGCACGAGCCGCTGTTGATTCCTGCCTCTTCTTTGCGGTCCCGCTTACGATGCTGTGGCGGGAGGCAGCCAGCAGCTTCCCGGGAGCCGGGGGGCCTGGCCGGACCCTCCGGGGTTCCCCCCGAGCCCCGGTACCGGCAGCCCCCGGGTTGGGCCGGGCGGGATCGGCGGGCGAGCGGGAGCCCGGCCGCGGGTACCGGGAGCGCGCCGAGCTCCCAGCCAGGCGCGCCCGTAGGCGGAGGGCTTTTCGTTTTTTGAAAATTCAATTGGGAAAAAAAGAAAAAAAAAAAAAAAAAAGGAAAGAAATACTTGACAGTGTCACTTTGTGCGTATCCCTCGCAGGGGTTGAAATGCGCTGGGCGTAGCGCTGCCGGGAGAGCGGTTCCCGACCTGTCCCGGGGCTGTGGGAAGCGCAGAGGGGCTGCCCCGGGGGCAGCGGGCGGGCGCTGAGCCCACCCCGTGAGCCAGGCAGAGCTGCTGCCGGGGATTTAACCCCTGCTCAGAGCCGACCGGTAACTTCTTTTTTTTCGTTTAGTTTTGGGTTTGGGTTTTTTTTGGGAGCAATTACTTTGTTGCCTTTAAAAATAGCACTGTAACCACCTTTTTTTATGATTAGCTGTAGTGTAACCTTTGTCCCTTCAAACTATGCAAGCTATGAAATGTAAATTAGGGATCAGTTAAAGATAGTTGATTATATTCAATCAGATGACATTCATGCACTAACTGGAGTATATACAGATAAAGCTATTAGAGTGACTTGTATGCTAACAGCAAGATATAACATACCTACCTATTCTAAAAAAATGACTATTAATATTGTATAACAGGACTGTGGGGGTTGGGAGGGAATGTTATCTCTTATCTTCTTAAAAGGGGATTTAAGATTTTTATAACTGTTTTTTCCATCAAACTTTAATATTTTTGTCAAATTTTTAGGTATTTAATTTGTAAAATAGATTTTACTTTGTACTGGCGTACAGAAAATAGGGGTTGATTTAAACTTTTTTGAAGCCAAGTGATCAAGTACATTTGTAATAAAAAGTCAATGGATCTATATCAGTCGTACTCACTGTTTTCATTTCTTGTACGTTCTAATGCAGTGGCGCTCTATGTCTCCCAAGGAAAAAAAAAAAAATTGGGGAGGGGGGTGGAAGGAGAAGGCAAAAATGTCAGCATTGATGCTGCCAATTGATGCAACTTTGCGTGCACAAGTGGCCCCTGGTCAGTGGAGATTTGGTAGATATGCATTTTTCCTAAAACACAGTGCACTTTTTCCAGAAGGGTTTATGCAAACCTGACGTTTTTGGCATGTCTGCACTTCACGCTTCCACCTTGGCGCCCGTAAACTCTAAAGTCGCCCTTTGGGAAGCGCCTTTCCCTGGCACTTCAGAAAAATCAAAACCAACCGAAGCAAAACTCTGATTTCTTCTAAAGTGATGAACTACAGCACATGATGTTTTTGCACCCTCACACGCTGTCTCCCTTCCTCCAAGGTCTGCCACTTGCTTTTCTCTAAGTTCAACAGGTCAAAGTTTTTTTTATTTCATTTTTTCTTTAAGTAAAATTGCCAAGTGTTTTGGATCGAAGACTTCAGCA